AGAGAGAGAGAGAGAGAGAGAGAGAGAGAGAGAGAGAGTCTCCAGTGGATCTCTGCTGTGTGCTAGGTGTGTCTTCTGTTGTCCGGCTTTCTTGTTTGCGGTTGGATCGTGCCGTTACATGTGATCTGACACATGTATGGAGAAGTATATCTGTTCTGGTGAAAAGAGGTACCCACTTATCATACATGTGCAGATGATGTATGTGATCAGCAGCGGTTGAACGTGAAGGCTCTTTGCACATGGTCGAACGTGAAAGGTTCTTTGCACACGGTCGAATGTGAAAGGTCCTTTGTGCATGTGCTTTAGGACATCCATTGCAGAGATGATTGATTGGCATGGCCCCTGTTGCAAGGATGGCATGCATAAATCTAGACTAGAAATTGTCCAAAGAAAGAAAGGTTGTTTACGCACCAACGGGGCTAGCTCAGTTGGTACAGCCATGAACAAGACCCAAGTTCGAATCCAGATGCAACTCTGAATTTACATGTGTGTGCTGATTCACGCAAATTGTACTCGTGAGAGATTTTACCACCTCCTTTTGGTCATGGACCACTGATATATCCTCCCCCCTCCCCCCCCCATATATTATGACATCCAACCCTACTTCATGGAAAAAAAAAGGATAGATAATGACCCCAAAGTACCCCCTCTCCCGGTTTCTCTGAAATGCAGCTACACAAACACCCACTGCTTGGGGCATATCCCCACCACCCACCACAAGGAGAGGAGGTTGGCTCCCCCTTGAATGATGCTGGCGCTGCAACGCCCACAACATGGGCCCGGTTGTGACGCGCAGATCCCCCGTGTGAACCCCTGTTTGTCTCATCTCCTCATCTCCATCAGTGTCAACTACATATGTGCTGTAGTATGGCAGAGACACAGGTAGTGAAAACGCCATAAAACTCAAACCAACCCATGTTACAGAGACCCCTGTTTTTCTTTTCTTTTTGTGGGCACTGAACCCTATTCTACAGAATTGCAGAGACCCCTGTTCTGGATAACACGAAGATGAGAATCTCCATCAAGGGGGAAAAAAAAGAAGGGTATCATTATGTAGAATAGGCGTCAGTGCCCAAACAAAGGAAACAAAAAGAAAGAAAAAAAGGATAGGGGTCAGTGTAGAACGCCTGTCCTCCCTCGGGACCACACGGGAGAGTTTCCCGTTATGCAGCTCGCCCCCCAAAACCAAAACCTTAGCCTTGTTTGTTTTGTCCGCGGGCTCGTGAAGCTGTTTGTTATAGTGTGATATTGGTTGTTTCTTATCTTATATATGGTTGCTGCGCATATGGGGCAGCGCTCCACTGCATAGCATTCTAACTGTACCTGGATGTTGAGGGTGTCCAAATTCTTAAATTGATCCAAATGTATCTGGCCGAGGATAAAGTCCAGACATGTGTGGTCGGTTGTGTAGTGTAGCGAGCCCCATAGCCTCTGAGGGTCCTACTCCTTGTAATCAACGATTCCGAAGAATCCGAACTGAATATCCAACCAAATCATGCGCGTCATGTGATATTTGAGGTTCAATTTCGTTACAATGCTTTGGTTTCCTGCCGATTGCCCCACGGATCTTGGCAGAGGCGCAAAGGGAAAGGAATTGCTCGTGCACGTCTCCCGCATATATATTTGGAGAAAAAGCGGCGATTGGGTAGTCAACGATAGACGGTCATTCGTTTTGAATCTTTGATACAAACAAAACGAAGACGGCTATGTTTTTTGAAAGGCGCAAAAATAATTGGAGCGGGCATTACAAGAACTGCATTAGCTGGAGCTGCTGTAGGTAGTAATAATGGAAGCGTGTTTAGTTCTATGCACAGTTTAAACTTTAAACCACTAGACTAAGTACCTTTGTCGTTTCGGAAAGCAGTGAGTGTGCGAAACGAAACGAAACGAAATGAAACGACGGCCGCCGATTAGATTTATCCAAGGGCAGCCGTCGTCGGGCCCAGCCTCCGAATTCTTCAGGAGCTGGCTGGCGTTTTCCCTCATTTCTGAAGCGGCAAAGGTACTAGTGGTTTAAGCCGAAAAAAGTCTGTGATTGTTTTCAACCAACCAATTGTTACGATCCTGGCTACTTCTGAAGAGCAAGTTCACAAGGAAAGACAATGCCACCCAATTGAAAAGAAATGAAAGCACTTGCAAAGAGATTGAGACCGAAGAAGAAGAAGAAGAAGAAGAAGAAGAAGAAGAAGAAGAAGAAGAAGAAGAAGAAGAAGTACAGCGTCAAGACCAAATCCCCTTTCTCTCTCGACTTTCCTCCTCCTTTTCTCCGCCAGTCTTATTCTTCTTCCTAATAATAATAATAATAGCAATGATGTCTGTGCGTGTGTGTGTGTGTGTGTGTTGGGTTGAGGAGGGAGGGGGGGGGGGGGGGNGGGGGGGGGGGGGGGGGGGGGGGGGGGGGGGGGGGGGGGGGGGGGGGGGGGGGGGGGGGGGGGGGGGGGCATATCAGTCACCTCGCTGAAGCTAACTCTTTGCTTTTGTAGTTCATCGAAGGGGTGGTCATGGTGATCATCTGTTGATGGCTGCTTCTTATTTGAAGTTATTTATTTGTTTATTTATTTCTCCCAGGGCTTATTGTGCAGTCATTGGGTGTGCTGTCTGCGCTGTGGGCTATCTGCAGATCCCGCTGGTGATTGTCTTCACAAAGTGTGATCGCAAGAAGAAGAAGAAGAATGGTGGCGTGAAGCCTGCTGAGAATGTCAAGCACTTTGAGCAAAGAGTATCCGAGTACTATTCTGATCCCCCTGCATGGTTCATGACGAGCGCGGTTAGCGGTATTGGAAAAGCAGAGCTTCTGACTCATGTTGCTCAGCTAAGGAATTACTGGCTGAGTGATTCTTGACATTTTGTTACTGGCTGGGAGGTTCAAATTTCAAAATAAATAAAATCTTCCACTATTTCACTATTCTTCTTCTTCTTCTTCTTCTTCTTCTTCTTCTTCTTCTTCGTCTTCTTCGTCGTCGTCTTCGTCACGGTCGTCGTCGTCGTCGTGACCGTTGCCGTTGCCGTTGCCGTCGCCGTCGCCGTCGTCGTTGTCGTTGTCGTTGTCGTCATCGTCGCCGTTGTCGTCGTTGTGGTCTTCGTCTTCGTCTTCGTCTCCGTGTTTTTCTTCTTCGCTCCTCTTCTTCTTCTTCTTCTTCTTCTTCTTCTTCTTCTCAGTTTGGACTGTACCTGTAAATGCTTCAACTGTGGACTTTCGGTAAGTGCTTGAAAGCTTAGGACTTGAGGACTTGGGCTCAAAGTACATTGTACTTTGTACTCAGGTTATCTGGATCCAAAATCCTTTGGGCTTGAGTTTTTTTTTTTTAAGTGGACTTTGGACTCAAGTATTACTTGGAGCCAAAGTAGACTTTCGATCAAAGTATAATGACCTTTGAAGTTTGAACTCTCCAGTATCTGGAATCGGGATGTAAAATACTCTGGGCTTGAGAATTCTCTCGTTTCTTTTTGACAGGACATTGGACTCAAAGTAGAGTAGCCGGAGCCACAATAGTTTGGAGGAAGTCTGGACGCAACCACTTTGGCTCAAAGTACGATGAACGTTGAGCTCGATTTGTTTTTTGTTTTTGTTGTTGGACTCGATTATTATACTTCAGACTTTGAGTATTTGGCCCAAAAAGCACACTCTGCTCACTCTGCTGCAGTTTGGATCGAAGTATTTGCGCTCAAAAGGTGTCAAGGTACTTTGGACTTTTCACTTTGTTGGATCCGAAGTATCTTGTACTCTGTTTTTTTTTTTTCCCCCCCCTCCTCCTTTTCAATGAATGATGTAATACTTGACTTGCCGGGAGAAAAAGAACCGGACTGATGTTTCCCCAGAAGGGACATGGACACAGGACTAAGTATCTTGGGGACTCTAAAACGTGTTTTGAAAACGTTTTTCGCATCCAAAGGTCTGAAAGTACTTTCCAGTGTTTCCACTCATGTACTTTGCACTCTCCATGCTTTCTCGCATCCATCCATCCGTCCAAGTACTTTGGATTGAATGGATGTCAAGGCCTTGGAAATTCCACTCATCCCCAGGTCCATCGGGGATTGAACTCAGGTCTGTATTTCAACAGCTCGTGGGTGTGTACCTACTACCGACTGGAGATAGGCCTGCCGGTAAGGGGGCCTTCGAAAAACGTTTTCAAAACACGTTCAAACTTCGAAAACCGCCAGTAAGGGGGCCTTCGAAGTTTGAACTTGCAAAATTTTGAGTGTTTGCAGTTTCACACTCTCAGTACTTTGGGGACTTTGTGCTCAAAGTATTCCCAGCCAATGTACTCAAGAGTCAAAACTTTTTCTCTTTAACAATTTGGACCGCCTCGTGATTTATGCGTGTCATCCATGCACAAGGGCCATTTGCTAATTTACCCTTGTCGGTATGGTTCCAACTTCCAACTTTAACGGATGTCATCCCGAAGGACAGCCAACGCGTTTGCTTTGGACCTTGTGCAATCAGACTCGTTCTCAAACACACTTTTCATGCATGTAAACAGCAACGCAGCATACTGGCGACATGCGCCCACTCAAAACTCAGAGATATGGCTTTCAGATACGAGTTCACTCTCAATTGGCTATGGCGACTTCAGCGCCCAAACATCTCACTGTTCACATACACTGGATCACCCTGGATATCCCACACGCATCACTCTAACACTCGAGCACACACACACACTCACTACTAACTACAGCTATGGCAGCTATGGCTGCCTCTAACCTATCGCTATGCTAACTCCTCTCTTGCCCACTGCGTCCTCCGGGCTCATCTGCAGACCTCCTTGCACAAGTCGCTGTGGCAGCGCTTCCACATGGCTCACGCAGGAATGAATGAATGGCTGGGCGCTGCCTCTTGATTTATACTTCAGAAACTCGTTGGTCTGCCCTTTGCCATCTGCCCTTGGTGCTTACAGTCCCCCTGTGGTACTTGCTGGACCGGACTGGGACTGACTGGACCTTCCGTTGACTGACTGTGGACTCACCGCTATCCTACCGCCGTTGCACTGCTGTTGCACTGCGGTTTAGTCCACCACTTGCCTCACCACTTGACCACTTGCCCACTTGCCTACCTTCTAGAAGGTCTACAGCTAAGCTTCCAGAACTCACTAAGACTCCTACGCTATAGACCTACAGATCGAACCCCTGCTGTCTATGGACCTACGACAGGTCTACCAACTGCCTACGAATACACACAGGTCACAGGTTCAATTCTCGGGGTCTACACAGATACTGTACATGGGTAGGGTGAGGTCTAGGGATCGAACCCTGGGTACTGCATCCGCTACTGCTAAAAGGTGAAAACCGTTTCACTTGTGGTCAATGTACTTGCAGCTCATGTACTTACTTTGGAAGTTGTTCTAGAGTCTATGGAGTTGTTTAGACTTTCTGCTTTAGTACGTTCTTTGGAAATTTTCGTAGAGTTGTTTAGACTTTTTCTTCTTTAGTACGTACGTACTTTGGAAATTGTTCTAGAGTTGTTTAGACTTAGTATGCACTTACTTTGGAAATTTTTCTAGAGATGTTTAGACTTTTTCTTCTTCAGTACGTATGTACTTACTTTGGAAATTGTTCTAGAGTTGTTTAGACTTAGTACGTACTTGCTTTGGAAATTTTCTAGAGTTGTTTAGACTTTTTCTTCTTCAGTACGTACGTACTTACTTATTTGGAAATTGTTCTAGAGTTGTTTATACTTTTTCTTCTTTAGCACGTACGTACTTTGGAAATTGTTCTAGAGTTGTTTAGACTTTGTACGCACTTACTTTGGAAATTTTTCTAGAGTTGCTTAGACTTTTGCTTCTTTAGTGCGTACGTACTTTGGAAATTGTTCTAGAGTTGTTTGGACTTTCTTCTTGAGTACTTGGTTAATATTTCCTTGTTTGGACTCTGTGGCCTTGAGCTGAAGGAGCACATCGGCAACAGCCTGTTGTGTGAGCGATGAAGTACACTGCAGTGATGATGGAATTTTGGAGTTGTGGGATTTTGCGATGAGGTATTTCCAAATCAAGTTTCAAACTTTAAACCACTGGTACGTATGAGCCTCCTTTTGCCGAGTCGGATTCCTCCCCTCCCCCCCCCCCCCCCCCCCCCCCCCCCCCCCCCCCCCCCCCCCACCCCCTGCGCGTCAAGCTTTGCTCAAATGACACTGCGGCAGTCTTTCTTTTCTTTCCTTTCTGCGGTCTCCGACAGCCATTTCGATCTGGCAGTCCCGAGTTGTCTCCCCGAGCTTCCGAAATTTTCGGATTCACTCGAACTTTCTTGAAGTCTCAAGTCTCAAGTTTGCCTATCTCCTTCCCCTGAATACAACGTACGGTCATTATAGCTGTATTTGAGGCATCTTTCCGTCTAGATACAGCTATAATGACCGTACGATGTATTCGGGGGAAGAAGGCAGGCGATGTCCTGGCGCGGTCTAACTGAAAGGACTTGCAATGTGAAATGATGCAGTTGTAAATTATTGCATGCAATCAAATCAGTGTAACTGTGCTGTCTCTCCGTTGCTCTGTGAAACGGCTCTGTTGATTGAGAACGCTGTTATGCAACAATGATTGCGGCGACATTTTGGTGGAGTACAGAAGTGAAGGTGGAGAGGAGGAGATGCCGTGGGACATGGAATTCGGTAAATTACCCCCATCGACATGGTCTGTTGCTCCCAATTTCCCCTTTGCCCTTTTCTTCAAGCACGGCAATCGATAGCCTGAGCAGCGGCAGCGGCCACTGGCAGCAAAATTGCACGGTACAGAGTACTGCCGACGTTTGTCTGTCGGTCTTCGACGTCGCTTGGGATATGCTCCTCAATGCTGCAAACAGCAGCGGCGTATGTGTGTGTAGCCATTGCTTAGTGCATTCCAAGCAATGGAGAACCGTGAGTACCTGAACAGAGGCCTGTGTCTGAACGATCGGGAAGATAGACTGTACTCGCTGTGGATGTCGAACACACTTGTAAACAGTAGTTAAATACCAAAACAGCGAATCAATTGCGGAAATTGGCAGAGGAGGATATGGAGCATATACGCTCGGCTGCATAGCGACTGTTGTCCCTCTGAACTACCAGCAAGAAAAAAAGCCACAGTTAGAACACCCATTCTGTCCCACATCCCTCTCCTACCCCTACATATCCCTTTCCTACCCCTTCCTATATCCCTTTCCTACCCCTACCTATATCCCTTTCGTAACCCTACCTATATCCCTTTCCTACCCCTACCTATATCCCTTTCCTACCCCTACCTATACCCCTTTCCTACCCCTACCTATACCCCTTTCCTACCCCTATATGGCCGCCTACCCCTACCTATATCCCTTTCCTACCCCTACCTATACCCCTTTCCTACCCCTATATGGCCGCCTGTACCCTGCTCCTTATCCCCATGTTGCATAACAGGTCAAACTTCACTTGATATATGATGGCAATGGTTCTGCTGAGAAGTGCTTTCATTGCAGAGCATTAGACATGGAAGTGTTCTGCTGGAGATATGGGTACGTGGGCGGGGGGTGGGAGAAGTGGGTGGTTGAAGGAACTACCATAAAAGCTGTCTTTTCAGTTGTGTCTGGAGGTTTGCATCCAGTGGGGGGCTGCTAGGTGGGGGGACCTCGTATCACCCTTCCTAGCACCCAGACCCTGGTTTTCAAAAAAAAAAAGAAAAAAAAAAGAAAAAAAAAAAAGAAGAGGTTTGCCGATTCTGGGCTGAAGCCGCTGAAGGTAGCTAAAGTGGATTGGATGACATGTCGGCCTTGCTCTTCAGCAGCGCATCCCATATGCTTAACCCACGAGTCTCTCCAAGCCTCCGTTTTCCGACCTGGATTTCTGCTGTGCGGCGTGTGCCAAAAAAAAACAACTGGTGCAGGCACATGGTGTTTTATTTTTGCCTGGCGACACCAACCTTTTTGGTCTGGCAGGCTGAGCCCCTGTGAACGTGGTAGTTTTTTATTAGTACTTTCTGGCGTCCGATCCATCCATGCACACACGGAATCGAACCGTCACCCTTAGCCGCTCCCCGGATAACTATGGCCGACTTTCCTATCTGTTCGACTTGTAGGCCTCACAGTCAGGCAGGCTTTGGCCCTTACGCTCTACAGCTGCGCTTTGCGCTACCTTGAGCCTACCTTTGCGCGCGGCCGTTAGCCGTTGGGCAATTGTGTTAATCTAATCCCGCTTGGAAATGAAAATTGATAGGTCGAGTACCTACACTTTGATAAAGCCTGAGTCTCCTGAGCCTGAGCCAGAGCCAGGTCTCTTAAACCGCCAGTACATGGCCGCAGCCTTGCAGGACAAAAGCTGTTCGTCGCCTACAAAAATTCCGGAGTCTCGGGGCTATCGGACCACAATGGCTGGTGGGGCCAGCCGAGAAAAAAAAAAAAAAGTATGCCGCTGGCGGTTTGGCAAAGCTTGGCGCGCAGTGCGGCGCCGCCAGGCCCAGGTGTATACTGGTGGTTTACAAACTGCAGCCATGAAGTGCTGTACAGAAGTGGAACCATACCGGTAGTGATATCCATCCCACCCCTGCATGGCTGTACTAGTGTCGTACTCACTCACACCAGATGCAACCCCACTCCCGACTTGCCTCCGCTGACACGCAGGCACTTGTCACACACTTCGCTCTTCATCAGCACATGACCCCCCGCTCCTACATAGCTGCGTTAACCGCAGCATTGGAAGTTGGAACAAAATGGGTGGGAAAGGCACCGCTTCTGGTGGTTAGCTATCCCACCAGCCTTAGCTCAGTTGGTACGCACATAAACTGTTGAAATGCAGACCTGAGTTCGAATCCGGATGGAAAAAGATGAAGAGAATTCCTGAATT